TTTCAGACATTTTCAATATTGCAACTAACAACCGCAATAACCAATTAATTAAAATGGCAACAAAATATCTATATTTTGCACAATTATATCCTTTGTTTCAAAGTTAGGCAAATCTCAGCAGTGCCTCCAAATATGTAAAAATTTTTATACTGCTCTGATATACAGTTCTGTTTATGGAAACAATTAAGAATCTATAATTAAGGAGATTCCCAACGTATTTCCATAAATCAAAATTTACACGAGTTCTTTCATTTGCGCTGACTTTGAAGACAAGAGGAATACAAAAGTATACAAAATATATATATTTATTAATTAAAATTCAATGCAGAATAATAATTAAAATATAATTGGTGACAAACAAAGAATATGGATCAGATAATAACAATTAATTTGATAATGCATAAAATGTAACCACTGGATATTAATTCAAAAGAATAAATGTAACCAAAATAAAAACGACTTTTTAAATGTAATGGGTATCTTCTCAGTATCTCACAGAATAAGAAAACAAAAGGTTTAGAATTGACATGTGACTTCTCCCAGCACAGATATTTACAAACTCAAACTTTTAACAGCGCATGGGCGATATTTATCCCATCATGCACAGGGCTGGCAATGAGCTAAGACCATTCAAAGTAAAGAAAAATTTCCACCAGTTTAATTCAATATTCAGACTAGACCATTGACTAGAAACTGAAATCAGTTTCCTGGAGATTATACAAATGTATATAACAAATGTATATAATTATCTCCCAAGATTGAAAGACATAATTTGTACTGCAGTTAAAATTATCTCAAATCAATCTAGATCCTACAAGAACTCAATGGTTTACCCGAATATATATATATATGTGGCTAGTGAATTGCCTAATATACAGATAGAAAGTATACTTTACCAGCAATTTAAACTTAGTTGTTGGGAAAAGTCAGCAGTCAATGCTCAGAAACCAGGGATGGTCAGGTTCTCTTTAGTTCAGTTCCTTGGACAGCCGTCCTCAGCTTCCGACCTATACCCTTGGAATGTATTTGCTTACTGCCTTGGTGTTGGAATTCGGCTTCTGGTCCCTTCTTGGCCCTACTACTCGCTTTTATCTCCCCCTGGGTTGTGGGCTTGGTTTGGTCTTCCACGTGATTATTGACGTGAAGCATGATGTCAGATATATCCTTTTTGCCATATACCTTTCCCTCACAATCACCATCAGGGGCCACTATTGTTCTATATAAAAGTTGAGAGCATTTCATTTAATTCTATTATTTTCTAAAGATAAGGCAGAAAGATAACCTCTGCCCTAAGCCATGGACAACCCATAAAGAAAGTCATGAATAACATCTCCTGACAACCTCTTGGCGACTTTTAGTCTACTTCTTCGATTTACAACCTTAAGATAATCTAACCTAAAGCAATTAACGTTCTTTCTTAAATTCCTTAAAATTGAGGTAATGAGTCTCAATACACATTGGTTTTTAACACATTAAAAGAAAAGAAAATACATTGGCATGTACCACCTAATTCTTTGAATTCAAAATATAAAAACCCCATATTTAGTAATACACAATAATATTTCAATGGATACACTCAAACAATATATAATGAATATAGTTTGGATATATAAAAGTACACGTATAAAATTTTACTTGAAATCAGTCAATTAAGTAGGCATATCGATGCTGCATATAATATAATATTATAATAACATTATTGCTAATATTATCACCACAATGAATAGTAACGTTTCATAAGGAACTTTTAAATAAGCCCCTTTCTTCTATTCATTGAGCAAAAAAAAAACTCTTTAGAAATTCCAATCACTGTACCTTGTATTTTGGGGAGGCAAGAAAGTCATCAATCTAGACCTACACAAGCTGGCACCATCCTTAACTGATGTGCGTCTGAGACCCCCACAATTTACGATCTGAGACTATTTATGCTAAAATTCCTAGCTCCTTCTCTGTGAAAGTCTCTGTGCAAGTCTCCCCTTCTGGGGAGCGGTGGAGTAACAGAGAAGGATGCAGGAGTCCTTGCAGGGAGTGGTGGAGGAACAGAGAAGGTAGGAGGAATTCTTGCAGGAAGTGGTGTTGTAACGGAGGGGAAGGAGGAATTCTTGCTGGGAGCAGTGGAAGAACACAGAGGGCAGGAAGAGTCCTTGCAAGGAGCGGTGGAGAACTAGAGAGGGGAGGAGGAATCCAGGCAGAGAGCAGTGGAGGAACAGAGGGGAGAGGAGGAATTCTTATGTTGAGTAGTGGAGGAACAGAGAGGGGAGGAGGAATCCTTGCTGGGAGAAGTGGAGTAAAAGAGAGGGGAGGAGGAATCCTTGTGGGTAGTGGTGGAGGAGCAGAGAGGGATGGAGGAATCCTTGCGGGGAGTGGTGGAGGAACAGAGAAGGGAGGAGGAATTCTTGTGGGGAACAGTGGAGAAACAGAGAGGGGAGGAGAAATCTTTGCAGGGAGTGGTGGAGGAACAGAGAAGGGAAGAGGAATTCAGGCAGAGAACAGTTGAGCAACAGACAGGGGAGGAGGAATCCTTGCGGGGAGTGGTGGAGGAACAGAGAGGGGAAGAGGAATTCAGGCAGAGAACAGTGGAGAAACAGACAGGGAAGGAGGAATCCTTGCAGGGAGTGGTGAATACAGAGCGGAGAGTAGGAATCCTTGCGGGGAGTAGTGCAGTAAAAGAGAGGGGAGATGGAATCCTTGCGGGGAGTGGTGGATACAGAGAGGAGAGGAGGAATCCTTGCGGGCAGTGGTAGAGGAACAGAGGAGAGGATGAATGCTTGCTGGGAGCAGTGCAGTAAAAGAGAGGGAAGGAGGAAACTTGTGGGGTGTGGCAGAGGAACAGAAAAGGGAGGAGGAAACCTTGCAGGGAGCAGTGGAGTAAAACAGAAGGGAGGAGGAATCCTTGCGGTGATTGGTCGGTTAAAAGAGAGGGGAGGAGGAATCCTTGCGGGGAGTGGTGGAGGAACAGAGAGGGGAGGAGGAATCCAGGCAGAGAGCAGTGGAGGAACAGAGGGGGGAGGAGAAATTATTACGCAGTGTAGTGGAGGAACAGAGAGAGGAGGAGGAACCCTTGCGGGGAGTGGTGGAGGAAGAGGGAAGGGAGGAGGAATCCTTGTTTGGAGCAGTGGTGTAAAAGAGAGGGGAGGAGGAATCTGTCAGGCGGTGCTGCGGACTCGCAGCTGGGGTAGAAACCCACTGGCAGAAAGTGGACCAGAACATCCAAGATCGAGGTACAAGAGGGAAAATCCAAATGGGTAGTCAAGTCCAGTCCGGGTCAAGGCAGGCAGCAAAGGTTCAGAGGCGGTAGACAGGCCGAGGGGTCGGTAACCAGGAAGTTCGGAAGAGGGTTCAGGAAACGGCAGCAGCCACTCCCTGGTCACCTGGGCAACCAGGAGGCTTCTCTGTCCGGGAGCCAATGGCAGGGGAAGAAGGATGGAAAAGGTGTGTGCTGGGAACCTCCCTCAGCAAGGCCCACACCTGTCAGCCTTGATGGGCGCAGATGCCCTAAGTGCACGCCCCCGTGCACGCACATGCAGCCTGTCTACCGCGAGCGCATCTCGCGCATGCGCACCCGCACCATCGGCGCCAGGAGTTCTGCCAGGCCGAAGGAGCCCCCATGCCCTACACCAGACCCAGCGGCCACGAGGAGAGGTGACACCCCTGGTTCCCTGACAGAATCCTTGTGGGTAGTGGTGGAAGAACAAAGAGGGAAGGAACAGAGAAGGGAGGAGGAATTCTTGTGGGGAGCAGTGGAGAAACAGAGAGGGGAGGAGAAATCTTTGCAGGGAGTGGTGGAGGAACAGAGAAGGGAAGAGGAATTCAGGCAGAGAACAGTGGAGGAACAGACAAGGGAGGAGGAATCCTTGCGGGGAGTGGTGGAGGAACAGAGAGGGGAAGAGGAATTCAGGCAGAGAACAGTGGAGGAACAGACAGGGAAGGAGGAATCCTTGCGGGGAGTGGTGGATACAGAGCGGGGAGGAGGAATCCTTGCGGGGAGTGGTGGTTACAGAGAGGGGAGGAGGAATCCTTGCGGGGAGTGGTGGAGGAACAGAGAGGAGAGGGAAGAAGGAAACTTGTGTGGTGTTGCTGAGGAACAGAGAAGGGAGGAGGAATCCTTGCAGGGAGCAGTGGAGTAAAACAGAAGGGAGGAGGAATCCTTGCGGTGATTGGTCGGTTAAAAGAGAGGGGAGGAGGAATCCTTGCGGGGAGTGGTGGAGTAAAGGAGAGGGGAGGCGGAATCCTTGCGGGGAGTGGTGGAGTAAAAGAGAGGGGAGGTGGAATCCTTGCGGGGAGTGGTGGAGTAAAAGAGAGGGGAGGAGGAGTCCTTGTTGGGAGTGGTGACTGACAGAGAAGAAACTGTGTTATCATCAGTCATGTGATCTCTCAGCTCTCGGTATAGAGTCGGTGTGGCAGCTGTAGTATCTGGCAGGCACTAAGGAATGGGAACTTCTCAAATGTTTCCGTAAAAGGAAAAAAAAAGTCTAGCAGGTTTTAAACGATAATTTTTGCACTTTTAGACTTCAGTCACGCGGGCATGTGACTACTTGCATCTATAGGCATTTTCTAAACACACATACAGCAGGTGCATGTGATATATTTAAATGTATTATTCAAATGTGTCAAATTGGGCACATTCAGTTTAGCTGCATTTATAAAAAAATAGAAATCTGCGTGTCAAGCAGATTAGATACGCCGAACACATGTAAATACAAATACGTTTAAATGAAGTGGAACTTGATTTGGGAAATATACTTTTTTAACACCTCCCAAATCATTTTCTTCTGAGGTCTGTGTGAATGAGGGCTCTTTTGCCTCGGTGGGAGTGTCCTGTGTAGATTTAGAAACATTCTGTAATTAAATGTGTCCCTCTTCCCCATATGAGAATGTTGGGAGGTGTGTCTGTCTGAAATGTTGGCGTGACACTGTAGAGACTCAGAGTGCTGATAAAACAGACACAATTTCCGCGCCTGCGCACTGCACTCTCCAGGCGACCCTTCATTTCACGCAAGCGCCCTGACCAGCGGCACTTTATCAATAGTGCGCAAGTGTGCTTCCTTTCGGTAGTGCTCCGTCCGTGACGTCATTGCGCCGGAAGCCTCCCGATCTGTGGCCCTCGGTAGCGTCGCTCCGCACACAAAGCCAGGCCGTCGCCATCTTATGTACAGGCCGGGCGGAGAGCTCGGGCCCCGGGCATGACCCCGCTGTCTCCTCGGGCCTCCGCCGGGCGGAAATGAGGCCAAGATGTCGGTATCTGGGCTAAAGGCCGAGCTGCGGCTCCTGGAGTCTATTTTCGGGAAGGAGCACGAGAGGTTCCGGATCATCAGCTGGAGGCTGGACGAGCTGCACTGTGTGTTCATCCAGAGCACCGGGGGGGCCCTGACCATCCACTGCAACATTACGGTGAGTATGTACACCAGAACGGCCACAGTGAGCGGCGGCCTCCGCACTGTTTACACAGTACGCAGTCAGCTGGAGCTCGGAATGGAAGGGCTGAGGGCGCCCTGATCTCAGCTGGGAGGCCGGCGATTGGCTGCATTCCCCATCACCTATGTCTATAGGGGTCACAGGCAGATAACTGGCTGCGTTCCCCATCACCTATGTCTATAGGGTCACAGGCTGGGAATTGGCTGCATTCCCCATCAACCATCTCTATAGGGGCACAGGCAGAGAACTGGCTGCCTTCCCCATCACCTATGTCTATAGGGCCATAGACAGAGAACTGGCTGCCTTCCCCATCACCTATGTCTATAGGGTCACAGGCTGAGAATTGGCTGCATTCCCCATCACCTATGTCTATAGGGTCACAGGCTGAGAATTGGCTGCATTCCCCATCACCTATGTCTATAGGGGGCACAGGCAGAAAAGTGGCTGCGTTCCCCATCACCTATGTCTATAGGGGCACCGGCTGAGAACTGGCTTCCTTCCCTTCACCCATGTCTATAGGGTCACAGGCTGAGAATTGGCTGCATTCCCAATCACCCATGTCTATAGGGGCACAGGCAGAGAACTGGCTGCGTTCCCCATTACCTATGTCTATAGGGGCACAGACTGGGGATCGTCTGCGTTCCCCATCGCCTGTGTTTATAGGGGCAGAGACTGGGGATCGTCTGCGGTCCCCATCGCTTGTGTCTATAAGGGCAGAGACTGGGGATCGTCTGCGTTCCCCATCGCTTGTGTCACTAGGGGCAGAGACTGGGGATCGTCTGCGGTCCCCATCGACTGTGTCTATAGGGGCAGAGACTGGGGATCGTCTGCGTTCCCCATCGCCTGTGTCTATAGGGGCAGAGACTGGGGATCGTCTGCGGTCCCCATCGCCTGTGTCTATAGGAGCAGAGACTGGGGATCGTCTGCGGTCCCCATCGCCTGTGTCTATAGGGGCAGAGACGGCTATATCTGTAGGATGATGGGGACAAGGATGAGGGCTGAGCACCATAACACCTACAGGTCTCCTCCACTTCACCAATCTGTGACGGGACAGTGGAGGGGAAGCTGCATATTGATGAACGCATCTCTGTCCCCCCTACTTTATACTCGTGTCACCACATTAACTGCTGTTTCATTGTGCTGCTTCTCCCTGCCCCTCTTTGAGCTCTGCTGTACAGGGAATTGCAAGATACTTATATATCAAATTCAAGTACTTGCGCTCCTTGCTTTTTAAAACAAATTCATTTAATTATGTATTAAATAGAGATCTGAAGAATCTATCTAAACAGTGTGTATAGATGAATCTCCTGCTGCGCCTATTCTATTGTCAGCTGGCTCCCACTGCTGACGGAATACCCAACTAGTGTTTGTGGCTGATTCGCTGCAGTCACTGTTTTTGGTTAAGAATTTACTGCCTAGCTTCTTCCTTTTTCAGATTGAAGGATGCATGGCAGAGGGAAATCAATGGAGCGAACTTGGCAGGTTCATCAAGGATTAGCCCAAATTTGCTCCATATGTGGCCAGTTTAAAAAAAACGAATCTAAGGAGTTACTCTTAAAAATGCATTCAGTTACCTTAACTTTTAACAAAAATGTATCTTATTTGTGTATCACTCGGCTTATCACTCGGCTGTAGATCCTCAAATCATCTCTGAATTCACACTGACACTGTCCTTCTGGATTAAATTTAATGTGAGATTGTAGTCCATCACGGGAGTGAGCTTGCAGCGGTGGCTACCTTATAAGACACACAGACAATTCAGAGATTTGAGGATCTACACCCGAGTGATAGACAAATAAGGTACATTGTTAACAGTTGGTGTACTTGATTGCACTAACATGTGACTTCTGCGCCAAACATTAAATTCTCAAGTGCAACATGTTGCACAAAAAGGTGCATGGAATGTACCAAATAAGTATGTTTTCAGAAAATGGGTAGGTCTGTAATATTGCACCAACAACAAGATGGCACAAAACAGTCAAGATCATGGTTTTTGCGCGTAATAAACGAAATGCACTGTGACATAATGCTTATGTGAATTGCAGTGCACCACTATAGGATGTGTCATGTCACCTTCCTCTACAGCTGCCAGTCATGGTTTATTGTGCCCAGTGAGTTTTTCAGTATTGGGCACAATGGTGGTGTTCAGTAGTTTGACAAGAGGATGATGGAGCAAGACAGTTACAAGTTCTACTGTGCGCCAGATAAACTATATCCACTGTGACATAGTGCTTATGTGAATTGTGGTGCACCGCAATCCGATGTGCCATGTCACCTTCCTCTACAACTGCCAGTCTAGGGCTGCAACAACTGATCAATAAAAGAGAATTATGTGGTAAGTGTTTTCCCCATAGTTCTCTTTAGGGTCACAGGAGGACATATACTAACCTCCTCCCGTGACCCAAAGCTCAGTATATCGCGGGCTATTGCCCGTGATATACTGAGAGCGCCGCAGCCGGGACGGATCCCGACAATACTGTCTGGATCCACCCAGCTGCGTGAGAGGCAGAGCCAGCTGTCAATCTGGAGGCAGAGTCAGCTGTGCCTGCCCCCTCCCCTTTCCATCCCTCCAGTCAGCGCTGGAGGAACGGAGAGTGGAGGGGGGATCTCTGTGGGGAGCGGTGACTGACAGTCACCACTCACTGCAGGGAGACGATCGGCAAGTGAGCGGACCGGTTGCATGTTTCTGCTCACTTCCTGATCAATAGAACTGGCCTGTGACAGCATCTTTGTCACAGGCTCGAACTATGGGTGGCTTTAACTATGAGGATGAGTGGAAATCACTCACCTCATAGTTCTCCTTTAAATCGATGATAATAGATTATGAGAATAGTTGTCAACTATTCTCATTATTAATTAGTTGGTATTGGGGAGGGAGAGAGTGATTTTTTTTTTTTTTTTAAAAATGCAACTAATCGATTAATCGAAAAAATAATCGTGCAACTAATCGATTTATGAATATAATTGTTAGCTGCAGCCCTATGCCAGTCATGGTTTATTGGGCCCAGTGAGTTTGTCAATATTGGGCACAATGGTGGTGTGCAGTAGTTTGACAAGCGGATGATGGAGCAAGACAGTTATAAGTTCTACTGTGTACCAGATAAACTATATGCACTGCGATGCACCAAGAAAGGTCTTTGCGTGCAGCAGTTTGCATCCCTCAGCAGCCACCATTCTTGCTTTCTATGGCCCAGTGTGCTTACAGACCGTAAGCTGACCAGCGCAGGATTCCTGCAAAGACATATCCTAATTGAATGTAGCACTAAATCGGAGTTAAACCAATCCTGTTCAATACTTGTAGTTGTAACTATCTTTGGCTTTTTAACAACAGCGTCAGACAAAACATCCATCAAAATAATTTTCAAGCTGCACAGCTGCATTTTCCTTTGCGGGTGGCTACTTTCATTTAACATGGACCAACTGTATGTAGGAATGTAGCCACCCTGCTTTGCTCACTCCTGACATGGACTACAGCATTTTGTGCTGAACAGTAACTGCAGCCAATCCGTTCCAGGGAACCACACCTGGAAATGTCAGATGGCACCAGCACTTTTCAGTAGAGGGAATGGTTCACTTACCACCCACTGGAAAGATGCATATTAAATATCTTTGTTTACAGGCTTGTTGCCTCTACTTTTTATCATTCGTGACGAGGTCACCATAAAGGTAAACTGTAATAATTTAGGGCCTATTTTAAGAAGTTTAACATGTAAAGTAACAGTTAATACATGACAAAGGATTTACAGAGCACCATGGGTTTGTTGGAGATGACAGGTTGTCTGCCTTTTATTAGATGTCTGTCACAGGTTTACGTCAGACAAGAGACAAGTCACTCCTTCATCTTTAGCTGTGACAGGCCTTTTACAAGAAAAGAGACAGAGGCTATTAAAGTAGCCGAAAGCTCCACATGCTGGCTGAAATGTCTATAAAATATTCTAATGCGACACACAGATTTTGAACGGCTGCCAGGTTTTACTGCCGTCTGTTCTAAAGTACATTGATTTACCCCACTTCCTGCCAACCTGACAACGTTGTACCAGACTGGTAGTGAGTGGAATTCTCCAACAGCAACAAAGACAGAAATAATAATAACAAAAAAATAAATCCTTTGTAGAGTAGGCGGAAGAATAGGCTCCTGTTGTAGACTATCGCTTACTTCCTACCTGGTGAAACTGTTGTCAGCAGGACAGGAAGAGAAGGTAAGTTCACACCAGATGCAGTTGTGATGCGTCCGTTCAGTTTGGCAGCTGCATCAAAATCGCATCACAATGCTTTCCAATGGGATTTCTGGGGCTCTGCAGACCGTTCCGATGCATTCTGAAAAAATACAGTTTGCCTCATTTTAGCTGCTCCTGATTGCAACGTGACGCATCATAGAGGCATGCAAATGCACTGGACTGCACCTGAAACCCCATTTTAATTTAAAAAAAAACAAAACAAGAAAAGCAGCAAAACGCATTGCAGTGAAGCTGCGCAAACGCACTCAGTTATGGTGTGAACTAGCCATAAATCTTTAATGGACCCCGAAATGGAAGTAAAAACCATTAGGTGTTATACTCATTCCCTACTATGCCCAGCCAATAGTTTTTTGTTTTTTTTTTCTTCTAGTTCTGGATACACAATTTTTAAAAGGGGTAGAGAGTGCAGGCATTCCTGAATCGGGCTCTGTAATTGCAGCCAAATCTGAAGCTGTTCTGATGAGAAAAGCTCCAGCGCTACAAGAAGCATTAGAGCTTGGCTCTACCTCACTATGCATTTGTTGACTAGTCACTGTGGTGGGCTTCCTCAGTGGCCAGTACAAATATACCTGAGGCAGGAAGGGGCTTTGATGCTCCCAGGCAAAGCTTTGCTACTTCCTGGACAGTAAGGGCAAAAGCCTGCTACAGGCTGCACTTTATACCTGCAGTGTTTTTCCAGTCCTTTTACCTCAACAACAGATTCAGAAGACATGCTGTGACCAATCATTCTTCAAGTGT